AAAAGGTTGTTTATGTTTGTATATCTTTGTATAGGTTGTTTATGTCTGTATATCTTTGTATAGGTTGTTAATGTTTGTATGTCTTTGTATAGGTTGTTTATGTTTGTATGTCTTTGTATAGGTTGTTTATGTTTGTATGTCTTTGTATAGGTTGTTTATGTTTGTATGTCTTTCTATAGGTTGTTTATGTTTGTATGTCTTTGTATAGGTTGTTTATGTTTGTATATCTTTGTATAGGTTGTTTATGTTTGTATGTCTTTGTATAGGTTGTTTATGTTTGTATGTCTTTCTATAGGTTGTTTATGTTTGTATATCTTTGTATAGGTTGTTTACGTTTGTATGTCTTTCTATAGGTTGTTTATGTTTGTATATCTTTGTATAGGTTGTTTATGTTTGTATGTCTTTGCATAGGTTGTTTATGTTTGTATGTCTTTGTATAGGTTGTTTATGTTTGTATGTCTTTGTATAAGTTGTTTATGTTTGTATGTCTTTGTATAGGTTGTTTATGTTTGTATATCTTTGTATAGGTTGTTTATGTTTGTATATCTTTCTATAGGTTGTTTATGTCTGTATATCTTTGTATAGGTTGTTTATGTTTGTATTCTTTGTGTAGGTTGTTTATGTCTGTATATCTTCTATAGGTTGTTTATGTCTGTATATCTTTGTATAGGTTGTAAGATGTCTATGACATGTAGTTCTATACGATGTAAGATGTCTATGACATGTAGTTTCTATACGATGTAAGATGTCTATGACATGTAGTTTCTATACGATGTAAGATGACTATGACATGTAGTTTCTATATGATGTAAGATGTCTATGACATGTAGTTTCTATACGATGTAAGATGACTATGACACGTAGTTTCTATACGATGTAAGAAGACTGTACACGTAGTTTCTATACGATGTAAGATGACTATGGCATGTAGTTTCTACACGATGTAAGATGACTATGACATGTAGTTTCTATACGATGTAAGAAGACTATGACATGTAGTTTCTATACGATGTAAGAAGACTGTACACGTAGTTTCTATACGATGTAAGAAGACTGTACATGTAGTTTCTATACGATGTAAGATGACTGTACACGTAGTTTCTATACGATGTAAGAGAAGATATATGTATAGAAAAGTATAGGTTTGATGACCGAAGCTGTGCTGATGAGCTGTGAATAGGCGAAACTGCAGTCTACAGTAGAAGTGTTGCGAATCAAAGAATGCATTAGGCCACTACGATACAGAATATATTTTCAATTTTACCTCTGGTGAAAAGAAAAGAAATCTGTAATATGATAAGTTAAATAGTTTTATAGTGTTTGTAATTGTTTACTTAGAACGGAAAGTTATAATTTATTTTGGAATCCAAGAGATGATGGTGTGAGATAGTATGCAAATTTTCATATGCGTCCTAAAGGTAGAATATACGTTTATTCCACACAAACGCCTCATTGTTTTAAGTTTGTTTGTTTTTTCACGGAGTTAAAGGTCTCGTTTAATTTTGTTGTTAATTTTTAACTTGTTGTTCGCGTAGCACGATTTAACAGCATCTTACTATAGCATTAGTATAATCAAGCTAAGCCTAACGACTGAGAATGAATATAGAAAGTAAGTGCTTGCATTTAACAGCACCTTACTATATCATTAGTACAATCAAGCTAAGCCTAACGACTGAGAATGAATATAGAAAGTAAGTGCTTGCATTTAACAGCAACTTACTATATCATTAGCACAATCAAGCTAAGCCTAACGACTGAGAA